GAGGGTCACCATACTTACCCAGCGGACCCCAAAACCATGGGGTCGGCATGGCTGCAAAAGACATATGGCCGTGGCAGCCCAGCATGTCGGAGCATCCAACTGGCCCATTGGTCGAAAGCCATCCCCATGCGGTCGACATCTTCATTGCTGAAGCCAAAGAATCATGGCCAGAGCCATGCAGTCCCATCAGCCCAACCTGGGCCATCCTGGGGGAATGGGCCATCCTGGGGGGCTGTGGTCGAGTTGCTCCAGAAATGGGGACCGCCAAATCCATCGGGCCAACCCCATGCCCTGCAAGATGTGCATTTCATGGCGCCGGGGCAAAGCCATGCCCAGATGCTGCTGGGGCTGCTGGGGTCGGTGAAGGTGTCACCGCCCCGGCGGCCTGAACAGCCCTCGGCACTACCTTCATCGCCGTAGTTGAGCAACTTTCTTGGGACCAGTCACCGGTGATGTGTTTTCTTTCGGTGGCCTAAATCTGTTTGTCCGGAACCTATCAGAACATGACAAAACTCGGTGTCACTCGCTCATTTTTCATGCCCATGCCTTTGCGAGTGCGACCTTGTAAAGGTAAAGGCTTCTAGCCGGCACATACCGAGGGCTCACACTCCTTGCCAGAGTAGCGATACGATTAATAAAGTCTTCAGGCATTTGGCACGAATAAGCCAGAGGATTCAAAGGCGTTCGATGGGCATCCCTGTCCAGCTGCAACTGGTATATCACATGCATGAGCATATGATATTTGGGTGTGAGCTTGAAACGAGCCAGCGATCTCGAGAGTGCCAGTGCCGCACAACGAGTATAAGCAGAAACCATCTCCAGGCCAAGCCGCACAATCTTCACCAGTCGTCGTCTCTGCAGAAAGAGCCCAGCTTTATACAAAGAGCTCAAGAATCCATCAGAAGCTTTCAAGCATTCAAGCACAGTTTGCAAAAACGGCAGATCGTTCTCGGCATTTGGCAATACATTCTCGAACTTGAAGACGAGAAACTTGAGGACGAAGGTTGTATCAGCCCCTTTAAACCATTGCCTGGCCACAAAAGAGAGACCGACGATGCACAAAGAAATCGACTACAATGTTTGACAAAAGCAACTACAATGAACTACAAAAAGATGCGAAGCTGTGGAGGCACCCAGTGGGATAGTCTGCTGCCGAAGAGATGCCCAACATCCTTTTGGTTAAAGCATTCATATGCAAATAAAGATCTCGATCAGCAGCGAAAGCTTTCATCTCCCCATACAAATGGGCCAGGTTCCGGTCCAGCCCCTTTGCAGAACATCCGGTCAGTCCGAAATCCCGGAGCACCATCTCAGCTGCGAGTAAAGAAAAACATCTAAGTATGAGACTATGCAACAGAATCTATTTGATCAGGCTTTAGGGAGTTTAAGGCATTTAGGGTTCAGGGTTGGCTATAAAACCGATACTATGCGAGAGGAGCTCCAGCCCAGAACCACAAAGTTCGGCATGTACACCTTTATGACAGGTATGGAAGAGATCCACTAGAAAGAAGCTTGCTTTGCTTTGGACAGCCATCGGTATCTTAGACGTGAGCCCGGACTCCTTCGCCGGATCCCAAGGAATTGTCGATGTAGCCATGCTTCGAACCCAAGGAGCCGTCGAAAAATCAGCTTCATGCCATGTAGGACAATGCTGTGTATTGGCCATACACAAGTGGCATATACCGACTTTGTAAGGATAAGCTTCTCGGCGAAAGTGCCTCAGCAACCTCCCAAGTTTATCCAAAGCTGGCCAATCTCCCTTCAATCCTAAAACGGCGACTCGCCATGTTTCGATGGAATGGCCGCAGCGGATGTCGAGGCCATGGTAGAAGAGCTTTGCAAAATCTTCTGCCCAGATGTCCACAAGCTTGTGAAGGGGTCGATCGTCGTTCAGGTATAAGTTTTTCGGCATGCATGCAAACAGCTGCCTGGTAACCATGGTATTTCCCCGAAAGTTCATCTTCATGTCTTGTGTTGCAGTGTCTTGGTCCTCTGCATCACAGCCAGTGCCGAGCAGTGATTCTGATCCCAGCACGAACACAGCTGACTTCTTCCATCCTCTTCCTTCATCCCCTATGAGATAAAGTGGAATAGTGCGAGCCCGGGCCTCTGCAGGCAGCTGGAAGATTGGATGCCGTGGAAGCAAAGGCTGCATCTTGTCCCAGAAAGACTGAAGATTAACATCGCGTGTAAGAATACTCAGCTTGTTGTGTTCACCTAGTGCCCGAAGGTAAGAAGAAAACAGAATACAAGGAAATGGTTCGCCCAAACCGATGTCCACTTCTGTAACTTCTAGGGGTGCCTGGTTTTCTGGCATTGCATCCAAAGCCTCTCGGGTCTTCTGTGCTGCATGACCCACAGTGAACCCATGACTCATCTTTCGGAGAAGCGAGGAAGATTGTAGTTTTGTAGAAGCCTCCTCCCCAAAGGATTCGTTTACTTCTGACACCACAGCATTTGCCAGCTCTGCAAGCAGCTCATGTGGTACCTGGATTTGAACAAGACTCATGGGTGGGTTTGTTCGGGTTGTAAATAGTGATCAGGCTTTAGTTTAGGGTTTATATGGGGTTAGGGGTTTGGAGTTTGGGGGTTATGGGGGTTAAAGGTGACCGAGGCACACCTTTCACAAGGGCATTCGTCACAGCCGATTCGATAGGACCAGTCGCCCGGCGGCTTCTCGAAGATGAAGCCTTGGAGATAGTGCTGTCCAGAGATCGCACAGATAATGTACCTCCCAGCATTATGTATCCATCACAGACAACATCACATTAGCTGTGCAAACTCGATGATGAACAATCTTTTCTTCGGCTCTGCTCGCACGAACCCCAAGTTGCACGTGCAGTGCAAGTCGTGTGGGACACCAGCTCGGCTCGTTCACATCGAAGGGCTATGACTGCAGGACAGTCTTATGTATCCTAAAATAAAGTTGCAAGTAAACCTTATGTATCTTAAAATAAAGTTGAAAGAAAACCTCACTGTGCCCACAGCTGTGACAACAAAGGATCACTTTGCAGCTCGCTTCGCCTTTGGCGTGGCCTTAGGCTGGGCCTTGGGCGTGGATTTCGGCTTCGGTTTCGAGGCTCCGGCCTTTTCGCTCTCACTGCCCTTCAGGGACGGCAGCAGAGTCCTCAACATGTTCGCGTGCAAGCTGCTCTGCCCATGATCACACTGAAGCTGCATGCTGTATCTGAGAGCCACTCTTCTTGATCTTGTTCTCTTCCATCGTGATCCGGCTCGCCCTGCAGGGCGAAAAAACGGCGATGCGTGGAAATCGTGGCTCATGCGTGCGGAGGACAGGTATTGCTTGCCAAGCCGCTTTTTGTTCGCGGTGTTGATCAGCTTCGTCAGCTTCCTGACACATAACCCAAGAATGGTCTGATCTAGAATACCGGGGCTTAAGCAGCAGGGTTCATGCAGGCGAGGGTCGCACCATCGACCGGCTCCTCACAGTCGTAGTTAGACTTCATGTCGGCCAGCTCGTCGTGCTTTGCACCAAGGTCGGTGATCAACTTCTGGAAAGACTCCAGATCCCTTGGCATGTGCAGAACTAGCTGGAACTTATAAGTGCACTGCACTACACGGGCCATGTTACTCCTTTGCAGCTCCACCTTTCCGGCAGCGGTCCAGGAGTTTATTGCCTCGGCTTTGAAGACAGAGCATCTCATTCAGCAGGCCGGGCACCCCGTCCATGTCCTGATTTAAGTTTAAGGAGGGATGAGGGTTCAGGGGTTTGTTCAGGGTTCAGGCAAAGCACAGAAGGATATTTGTGAAATTAAGGTTATAGGGTTTAGGGTTCTGGGTTTATAGGATTTTGGGTTTATAGGGTTTATAAACGGGTTTATAGGGTTTAGGGTAAAGAGAAACGTGGCCTCCTCCACATCATCGGGCAAACTTTCTTTGCTCTTTCTTTTGCCTAGCTTGGCCTTCGGCTCATCGGCTTCCTCATCCTCTTCTTCATCTTCATCTTCATCATCATCGCCATCATTATCATTATCATCCTCGGAGTTCAGGTCAGGCAAGCTGCCACCCAAACCGAAAGCCACGTCACTGACCCTGGCACCATCGGATATCGTAGTGTCCCGTAGGAGCTCTTCCTCGTCCCTGTTGGCCTGAGTACCCTCGTAGGCAATGTCGCACCAATACCATATCAGCTTCTTCTGGTACTTGTCCTTCCTTAAATAACAATCGGTGGTCGAGGGATGATGACTGCTGGCAAACAACATTGCGATGTCACGGCTAATCGAAATCCTAGGCTGCGTGCAGGGTGTGGGTCTTCCGGTTCTCCTTCTTCATGCAGAACTTTCGGATCGCCTTCCGGCGTTCCCTCAGTTGTATACATGCACACACAGGTGTACATGTGTACATGTATTATGTATATATATATATGGACACTAGTAGACATGAGTACATGTACTTTATGAAGACACACAACGAAGAATGTGCATACATGCCACAGGTCTTTGCACATCGGTAGATAGGTTTGAGAGGATGAACGATAGAGGGATATGTTGTACAGATACAAGCAAAATAACGAATAACAACCCATGCATTCATGCATGCATGCATACATACTTACATACTTGCATAGATAGATAGATAGATAGATAGATAGTACATACATACATACATACATACATACATGGACACACACACTCTCCCTCTCTCTCTCTCTCTCTCTCTCTCTCTCTCTAACTTACATGTACACACACACACACAAGCAATCACACTTTCCAAAATCCCGGCGACTGCAAACATCAGACGAATGCTCAGCGACATGAACAAGTGCAGCAAAGGGGCGGCGTGAACTTCAGTTCATCTGCCATCATCTGATCCGTATAGAAGCCGGATCGAACCTTGAACTCGTTGCTTCGATTTTGGCGATAGGTGTGGTTCACCTTCTGAAGGAAGCCTTCCTGCGTGTTTAGGGTTTCTAGGGGTTTTAGGGGTTTCTCCAAGGTTCCTATAGAAATTTAAGGCATTATATGGGTTTAGGTAGGATGTGCAAGGGAGTTTAGAGGGCTTCGGGTTATATATACATATACATATACATATATATATATATATTATATTATATTATATTATATATTATATTTATATAGGGTTTTAGCTCGGAGGGTTTAGGGATGTGCAATCGTGAATGGGTCCTTCTTGCCGTTGCACTGTAGGAGCACCTTCCTGAGTTCTCGCCTGTGGCTTCCACCCCGTTTCCACATCTTGTGAACCTGTTCGGGGACCTGATAGTTGCCCTTCTTATCAGCTTTGCAAAGTCGCCGGAGGATAGCCTCCAGCTTCGCTTCTTCGGCCTTCGACAGCTTGGCGAGTGTCGTAGCCGCCTCAGATTTGAATCGCAGCACTTAAGCATAATAACAAAGGCTATTCGCACACCCACACACACACACACCCACACCCACACAGGAGACACGGCCATAGAAAGTCAGGGGTCTCGAGGTCGCTTGCCTCCAGGAACACGTGGCGGGGCTTTGGGCTTGGCATTCGTATCAGATACATCATCTTCGGTGTCGCCGGCGGAGTCGGGCTCGGGTTTGGTCTCCTGGTATGACAATAGTAGCTCGGATAGGGTTTAGGGTTGACCTATTGCACGACACTGTAGCAATCGCACGGACCTTCAACGGCGTGCCGTAGACATCGTCCTTATCGAACAGGTGTGTATGCAGAACACAGAACCTGGAGCAACATCGAACCCTTGGTACTGCTATAGTGCATACCGTGATTCCGTAGGCTGCCAATTCTCCTCGGCCGAGGAAACCTCGACCATGTTCTTCAAAGCATGCTGCAGCATCTCGTCGTCAGACTCCGATGCCATCTCAGGTGCCGGAGCAAGGGAGAGGACATGCACACCAGCAGGCGGGTCCGAAACTTGCTCGAAGCTGCATAGCAGGGACTTTCGTGGTGTCTCCTGGGATTTCGGCGGGCATCCTGTAGCAGGCTTCGAACTTTCAGCTTTGGGAGGACTTGGCAGCTTGGGGGGCGAAGCCTTTGGGCTGGGCTTAGGACTTGCAGACCGCTTGGGGGGCGAAGCTTTTGGTGTAGGGAACAAAACCTGAGACATCTTGGGGGGCGAAGCTTTTGGGCTGGGCTTAGGACTTGGCAGCTTGGAGTGCGAAGCCTTCGGGGTCGGTTTGGGACTTGCCACCTTGGGGGCCGAGGGCTCTGGGTGGCAGGGCTTGCTGGCAGTCTTCGGAGTGGCCTGAGGGGTCAACTGCTTCTGGGTTGACTTGAAAGGAGTCGGCAGCGAATCGGAGGGAAAGCTCGGCTGTGCATCTTCCCCTTGATCCTGCACTGGCTCGTGCCCCGAGGAAGTAGCACCACCACTAAGCGGAGGGCTCCTCAAAGGCTTTCTCTTGCTTGGCTTGGGCTTCTGCGTCTCCGGAGTAGCCTTTTCCTTCCCTAGCCCATCATCCTCAGCCCGAACTGTTTCCTTGGATCGTTTCTTTCGAAGCTTCGCTCTCTTGCTGGGAGGCTCCTTGGCCTCCACATCATCATCAACATCATCACGAGGCGGCGGGGTGATCATCTCATCTTGCTGAAGCTGAAGTCGCTCCAGATTCTTTAGAAGCTCCTTTGCTTCCTGCACATATCAACACAGAGGGTAGATGTAGTCTAGGGTTTAGGGTTATAGGGTTTTGGGTTTAGGGTTTCTTATAATAGGTAGTATAAGTAGTATAGACCCTGTAGCACATGTCCTCTAGCTGCTCGGTGATCGACTTCTGTTCTTCCTTGATAGCACTCTTTGGGACCTTTGGACTCCTTTTTTTCTTTGCCATAGCTGCAGCCCGGCAGCTACACAGAACTACTTCAAGAAGAATCTAGGAGCAACAGGACAGGACACATCACAGCGATCGTTGCAACAGCTTCAAGTCCCTTGCAATGCATAGGAAAACGACACGGACACTCGACCTACGCTTTTTTGCGCCACCCCTACGGCTTTCTGCGCCACTCCTACGGCGATTTGCGCCACCGGCTGCTCTCACAATTTTACATAGATTCTATGTTAAAACTAGTTAAAAACATTCAAACAAGCTCACCATACAAGGGAACCCAAACAGATACCATTGGAACTGTTGTGTACCCCAACCGAATCGGACTTGCGGACAGCAGGCCGGCTCTTCAATCGAGCTCGATCACAGGTGTGCGATCCTGGAGAGGGTTGTTAGTTTGCTAGTTATGCAGATGAAGTGGTCGGAGGGTTTCTAGGGCTCGTGAAGCCTTTGCCTAGCTAGGGCTAGGGTTTAGCGAAGGATTTAGAATATCTATGGGTTATACTAGTGTTATAGGGAAGCAAGTTTGGGACCGATTGGGTATGGGGGCTTTATGGTTCGGGGACGGGGCTCGGTGCAGAGGGATTATACATCGCCGTATAACTAGGATTGATCGTTGCTTTGGGGTTTTGGGTTTGAGCGAGGCCCGGGAAGGGTTGGATGCTAGTTTTCGAGTTGTGAGCTTTGGGGTATGTAGAGTCAAAATGATCGAGGAATCTTTGGTTTCTGTAGGCTATATAAACAGAATACAGAAGCATTTAATGATATCGCAACAGTTATTCTAGTAACTGCACCTTTGTAGCTTTAAGCAGCTATCCTGCATGGTCGTTTCTATGATATATATATATATACACATATATATATATATACATGTGTATATATATATACATATATATACACATACATATATATATATACACGTGTATGTATATGTTAGGTTATATTTATATATATATATACATATATGTATGTATATATGTATATATATACATATATGTACCTAAGGTACCTTAGGGTTTATAAGGGTTTAGGGGTTTAGGGGTTTAGGGTTATAGGGTTTATAAGGTTTGGGGTTAGAGAGTTTAGGGTGTCCTGCGGGGTGTACCATGAGCCCGGCCGCCAAAACTGCTGGAACGTGCCCTTGACAAACATGCGAGCATAAACCTTCCCCACTGATCTCGTGTGCCGCCTCAGTTCTAGAGAAGCCAACGATTATGCATGCAAGCCACGAAGCTCCACAGTAAATACAGTGATCACTGTATGTTGCGACCATGCGACCCTGTGTGGCATTTCTTGCCCACGGAGGCATTGCTTCCAGTCTTCATCTTCTTCTTCGCCAGGCGGGTTTGTCGTGGCTGATTGAATACCATAATTGCACGGGAATTAGAAAGGAGCCTGAGCTTTTTGGGAGCCCCACCCGATCCCCAGCAACTCACCCATAAGCCAACTCGAAACATCTTCGTCGGCAGAGCGAACACTTGCCACCGAGGGTGTTCTGTTAGCTTCGGTGGCATTTCCACCGTCCACGTGAATCCCAGAGCCTGTGCCAGGAATAATGCCAAAGCCAGCCTCAGACAAGGGTTTCTCAGGGCAAGCATGTGTCGAGACAACAAACGGGTGACATGGGCTAAGAGCTAAGATAATGTAGACAGGTTGCCGGTCGGCCATTCTGGGCGATCGAATCGATCTTCCATGAACAATACTCCCCGGCTTCAGCTTCAGGATGATAAGCAACATCATCCTCAGATATTGCCCGGAAGTTTTAGCCTGAATGATTCCACAACAGCAAGACAAGAACTCGGAGCTAGTGCAAGCCAGGAGACATGAAATCCGTAGGTTCAACCCCCCAAACAACCCTCACCGCCGAAACACGTTGCTTCTTCAAGGGTTTGGTGATAACTGGATCATCATTGGAGAACTCCACAGCCTCGTACTCCTGGACCACAATGCTCTAGAATCTCTAGAAGGCAAACATGCACTCCCTAGCATCAGCATGTCTAGCCGACGTGCCCCACCTGCTTGAAATCCAGTGGCATGTTGCAGACGATCGCCAATACCATCATAAGTATCTGAAGCATCAGAGATTCCACATGCTTCGAACACATTCAGAACCCCATTAAAGTAAGCCCCATACTTGCAATCTAGAAACGGTCGGTGCCCCTGCATCCTTCAGGATCCGGAAGATCATGTGTCTCCGTGTTGGAGACAGCATTGCAGTGGAGGCCGGGCTGGGCACTCTGAGCAGGCAAGCTGCATTCACCAGACAAAGTAAGTTCCACAGCAGCAGGCGATGACGACAGCACACAGCCCATGCGTGCAAACTGCTCTGGCTCATACTGTAAACCCTACAAGGCCTAGAAGTCTTATTATGAAGTCTAATGCCTTTCTATGTATAGATCTAAGCCCGACCCCTGTAGAACCCCAAAGCCGAAAGCCGAACCCCAACCCCCAAACCCAAACCCTATATAACCCCAAACCCTTTTTCAGCCCAAACCTATAAACCACGAACCCGAACGTCCCGAACCCTAAAAAAACCCACAGACACAGCTTCGGCGGGGCACGTTTCGGGATGCCCTTGAGGAACTTCACCATGTTGCCGGGGCCCAGCCTGCAAGCAGGAAGCCAAAGCTAGCTCCAGAGAGAATGTTTAGTGTTGCAAAAACGATGCACCGAGCAATTGACAGCATTCTCTTTTGCGGCGAGACTGCACTGTGATCGCACTTTGCAGCTCTGCCACACACGGCCCGAGTCTAAATCCTGCGAATCTTGATTCAAGCATGCGAAGTGCACCGTTCTGCCAGGAGTCGGATCTGTGTTTGAAGGGTTTAACAAAGAGGGCTTCCAGGGCCTTCAGGGCTTAAGGGGGTTTGGGGTTGGGAGTCTAGGGCTTATATAACCCTAAACCCTAAACCCTAATATAGAGATTTCAGGCTGCATACAGGTCGCTAGATTGATCTGTTGAAGATGCACATTGCAGTGTGCACAGTTTACTCGTATTCCAATGATGCATGCATCGGTCTATATCACTACAGTGCCACATGTGCTCCTTAGCCACCGTCCTCAGCAGAGTCTATATGCACAATCGCACGAGGAAAGAAAGCTCAGCGGCAGCAAAGCTTTGCAGCCACGAGCTCAGCCCAGCTTGCACCGAAGCAGGAGGTTCTTCGATCTTTAAAATGTTTTCGTAGACTGCACAACAAACTCCTGCATGATCGATGCTGCCCCCGATCGAGATCTGTGTGTGGCTGTGAGAACAACTGCACACTTCATGGCAACCTGTAAAGTTATTGAAGCCTGACCCCGAAGCGAAGCTTGTGATTGTAGCAGCCATGCAAGCACACTCCTCGATCAAATCTTAGCCGGCCTAGCCCTTCGGGGCCGGTAATTAGGATTTTTGCAGTTACTGCAACCTGTAAGGCTATAGCGACACTTCGGGCAACCCAAAGGCCGCCCCTCCGGCTCACCACCATCCTCATCATCAGCACCACCGGCACGGCCGCGTGCAGCCCCAGGCTTCCGATTGCCCGGCGACTTCAGCTTCGCCGCCTTTCCTGTGCAGGACTCAGCGGGGGCCCCCTTTGCCCTTGCCTTTGCTTTTGCCTTTGCCTTTGCCTTTGCTTTAGGCAAAGGCTTCTCCTTGGCCTTGTCCTCCCCATCCTTCTTGTGACCTTTCTTCTTTCCTGCTCCTCCTCCTTTTCCCTTCCCCTTGGCTGCCGAGATTGCCGCCATTTTGCTTTTTCTGAGCTGCTTCTGCATCTGGGGGTCGACACAAAGTCCTGTCACCTCCTGGCAGGGGTGTCGTTTATTGTTTGGTTTACACCAATACGACCAGTCAGGGCTCGGGCTTTGCTAGGCTAGGGCTTTAAAGGTTTTTGTGGTACAGGGTCTAGGCCTTTAAAGGTTTTTGTCTTAAAGGGTGTATACACAAACCAAACAACATTAATTGTTGGTATCTATAAGTGTACAGGGTATTATGTCCATCGTGCGATATTTTCCCCAACATGTAACATGCTCCTTTGGCGGGGTCACCGAATCTGCACTGCTAAGCTTCCGGATTGGTGTGCTTGCCGGGGATGCAACATCCATGATGTCCAGCGGTTGGGTCTCCACCTGCAATAGATCAAGCTAAAGAGGAGCAGTTTGCATGTCTGGTTTATGCTGTTACAACAATAGCCCTCTAGCATGCAGTGCGAAGCAACGACACGATGCCTGGCTCGGGTCAAAGGTGCTGGCTTGCGATCGCGGTTTCTTCGATGGGGCCGAGGCCAAACCTAGGTCGAGTTATGTTAAGTGGGCAAACCGGATCGCATACATAAATGCGTAGGATCCACAACTAATGCATCGGAGGGCTCGACTTGTCAGATGTCGCCGGGGATGTCGATGGAGTTTTCCGCTTGGCATTACCAGACCTGATGTTGGCAACAGCACACAAACAGGATTCAGGCCGAGGCAGGGTAGGTGTACATGTGTATGTGCAAGAACACAGTCACACACAGCTGAAAGTGCAGCGATCATCGTAGGGATCGGGCATGAGTCTGAGGGCCTCAATTTTAGATCGAATCTCCTCGAGCTCCCGAGCCTCTGGGCTCCTAGAAGTACCCACGAAGAGGACTTCCTCAGTCTCGGCCTTTGTCTTCGTCGCGATTCGCCTGACTGGCTCGGAAGGGGGGGGAGCATACTTTTGCTTCTTCTTGAGCACAGATGTCACCTCTGGTTCAATTACAGGGTCTTCCTGCAATTCTTCCTCCTCCTCTCCCTCCTCACATACATCCTCCTCTTCATCATTCCTTTCTCTCTCCTCTAGCATCTTTCTCTCTTGTATCTGCTTGCAGCAACCCTTGAGCACTCGATCGGGGGCCGGAAGAGTTTCGCGAAGATGCCGAATAAGCGTGAAGAGCTTCTGCACGGGCTTGCCCTAAGTCGTCACATGTTCACATGAGAACATAAGATCTGTCTCAATGCAAGCAAGCTCTGCAATACCCGATGATTTATGGCGAGACTCAGCTGGGGTTTGGCCTCTTTTGAAAGCATCGCCTTCACGACGAAGGGCATAGGAATAAAGCTTCCTTAGCCCCCAGGAGTCCTTGTAGAGCCTGGAGGCAGAGACATCCCACTGCATATCCACGTAGAAGTCTTCTACCTTGGAATGATCAGCTCATGAACTTCCGAAGGGGTCACAGCTCAAGCAGAAGCAACCTGAAATGCAAGTTAAGTTGCTGTCTTGGATAATCGGCTGATCGAAACCAAAGACAGCTGCTGCAAGTTTTCGAACATGCAATACACCATCGGGCAGTTCAGGGTCAGGGTGTTGGCACTGGGTTCGGCTTCCTTGTCTTCGTCCTCATCCCATCTCAACCAATCCAAACCTTTTGCCTGCCTGCTCTTCGAAAGAGGCAAATGCTTCCAGCCCTTCCTGAGCCTATCAAAAGCCACTCCAGCCATGGCATCCACCGAGGCCCCTAAAGAAGCTATAAGCCCTACAGCTCTGAATGCACACAACAATCATGCTTGCACACTTGCACATAGCTCGCACACCGACGAATGCAAATCCAACTCTCTCTGGCGCTCGGCGAGGGTTTAGGGTTATAGTTAGGGATAGGGTTTAGGGTTATAGGGTTTA